ATGGATCACTGAGCGATCCCTTCCTAACAAACACAGGCGTTTGGGTGGACACAGGGATGTGTCTTAGCGCCTCTCCTATTCAATACATTCATGGCAGCGCTCTCCGTTATAGTGGACAGCAAACTCCAGGAGAGAGGTTTGGGCATTAGATACAGATACGACGGCGGTCTGTTCAACATAAAAAGACTCAGGGCAAAAACACGTACAAAATTCATCACAGAACTTCAATACGCTGATAATTGTGTTCTAGTTGCAAATACGTTACAGCAATTGCAAGAAATGTTGAACACATATACATGGGCATACGAGGCCTTGGGACTTAAGCTGAATATCGATAAAATTAAAATGATGTGCACTCCCCCGGAAGATCACAACAATGCTATAAAAATCGGAGATGAACTGTTGGAATATGTAGAACAATAATTGGAATTCAATTACCTCGGCAGTTTGATTTCGGAAAAGGACAATATCGACTCTGAAATTCAGCACAGGATTGGCAACGTCTCAGGAGCATTCTGGAAATTAAAAGACAGGGTTTTCTACAATCATAACTTGAGCACAAAAACGAAACTTGCGGTGTACCGAGCGATAATAATTCCCACCATGTTATATGGAAGCGAAACGTGGGTACCATACCGCCGACACATGAACGCATTAAACAAGTTGCAACAGAGACATCTTAGACAACTCTTAAGAATCAAATGGTTCCATCATGTCTCAAACGTATCGGTCCTTGAAAAAGCTAACTGCGAGAGTATTTAAGTCATGATTACAAAGTCCAGCTTAAGATGGGCTGGTCACGTATGCAGAATGCAAGAAAACCGCATACCAAAATCTCTGCTTTACGGTGAGCTTGTAGACGGTAACAGGAGGCCGGGTGGACAACTCAAAAGGTTCAAGGATATTTTCCACGAAAACTTAAAGGGAATTAACAAGCAGAATGAGTGGGAACAGGCAGTTCACAATAGAACGGAATGTAGAAGAATTGTAAAGTCAGTTAAGAGCAACAACCAAAAAGTAAAGAGGCAACAAAGCAATGAGATTTTTGAATGTCTGGAGTGGGGTAGACAGATAACATCACGTATCGGGCTTTTCAGTCACAGAAAAGCTCATGAAAGAAAACGCCTTGCGTGACCATCTTCTGATACGTGTCAAATACTCGTCAGCGAGTAATGGCGGTATATGTAATAAAGTGGTATTACATACACTCCATTACAAAGTAAACAATAAAAAACAAACAACCAATCTCGGCGTGTCTCGGTCTAGTTCGATTTATTTCAGAGTTTGCGGATGCAATTTATAATTAATTCAAGAACTTTTTTTCAACATTAGGTAACTAAATTTGCATTAGAAATTAGACTAGCTTTTCCTAGAATTATTGTTACTTGTTAACAGACTGACCCAGTCAGACTTTCAAAAGTTAATTTTGGAAAAATTTCCAAACGCGCGCCGCTTGTTTGGATATGAAAAATTTATTCCGCCGCGCCTATACGGCCATTCCCTTGCTAACTTCCTAAAAAGTTACTCGTTCTTGGAAACTCGTCGTCCATCCGACCCACTTTTACAACTTCCAACGGATAAAGTCTTTGTTTAGCTAGCGATCTAATTTTCGGAACAACCGCTCAGTTTTATGCGAGTTAAACGAAACGTCCGTCGGCCATTATCAAATTTTACGGCAATATTTGTTTAGATGGCGGCCGTTTTATGACAAGCGAATTCATTAGTTCCCTAAATCGGAGCATCTGGATGTGCCATCTGGTGGCAGAATAAATAAGGAAATGGAAAAGAGGTTTTAATTGCGTTACTTTGGAAACAGTTATCTTAATTTCGTTTCAATGAGAAAAAGAAAGAAAAGCTATAAGTAGACTTTACGTAACTATGATTGAGGGAAATGAAATGAATCATAATATGAAAGCACGAACGAAATTTTTTTATGAAATTAACACAGATTAAAAAATATTAATAATTTCTTGTCTGTGTTATTTCAGGTCGAAATAGTATATTAAACAACGAGTTTCGAAAACGACGTTTTGCACGCGAGTTTGCCAGTTTGTTGGCTCGAGCCGCAGGCAAGAGCCACAAGTCGAACGAGTGTACAAAAAAGTTTTCGAACGAGTTTTTTACGCTATTTTTCTACGACTACAAATTAGCAGCAGACTCACTCAGTTTTTGCCAGTTTTGTGAAATAATTTGCGATGTAATTATGACACTTTTCTGACGGCCGCGTTGCGTTTCGCGTTTCAGCTAAACATTGGAGGTTAAAAATGTTACAATTGGCCCAGAGAAAAAAACCAGTGCGCTAAATCTTAGCACACAACAGTTTGCAAAACGCCAATTTCAGATCGAGGTTTCCGTGTGTCAAACTGCATTTTCTAGGCTAGTCGTAGAAAAACTAATAATATGGAAGGTTTATCTATTACTATCTATTTTTTTAACATTCGAAGAAATTTAAGTCCAAATCGTCCAAATTAAATGAATTTTGGTATTTCGATAGATTGGACCAAGGCCAACTTAACCGTGTACAACCCGTGTCATTTTGACAGTTAGTTTTTACGTAAGAAAAGTCAAAGTTTGATGTCGTCCGATCGCTACCAAATTACAATAACAATAATAGATGGTGAATATGCCGAATATACATGTTAACGTTGGACGTCTTTGTAAAAGCCCTTTTTAACTAATTTAAGAAAAACTAGTTACGACTTCGTTGTCAAATCAGTAGGAAAGCCAATATTTAGGCAGTTCTAAATTTGCATGGGACTTTTTCAACGCCGATGCACCACCCGGTATGGTCTAGACTTGGACAATATAATCGTGCACTCCATACATTCAATCGCACATAATTTTTGCCTTTTTATGATAAAAAAAAGATGACATAGTGAAGTTAAAACTTTAAAATGGAAACCAAGAAAAATCTCCAATGCTTTCACTCCCCAAGTGGCAAAATTACGTTGTTCAACGTAATCACAACGTGGCCAGGAGCAACCCAACGTTGCCGGACAACGTCGGAGCGACGTCTAAGCGACCCATATTTGCACCAAAATGGTGGATGTTTTTAGGGTCGCTACAACGTCGCCAACGTTGGCGATGTTGCTTGAGGCGACGTAGTACGTCGTGTGCTAAAAGTTGTTTTTCATGCCGATTCGCGATATTTTGGGGTTAGAGTTAAAAATATTCGTCGTTAAATATTACTATATTCAACCATGGGGAAACCAAAATGAATGATGTATGAATTAGAAATGGAATATATTATGCTCCATTAAGAAATAACTAGGTGAATTTAACTTCGACAAATCTGCAAAGTTTTGAGATGTCGGCAATTGAATTTCATCAGCGAAGATTAGTTTACTGTTGAAAGTGACCATGATACTTCGAAATATGGCAAAACCCCTTTTTTATTTCCTCGTTTTAATTTTAAAATTATAGTTTACTTGGTTAACCTAACTTTTGTTTTGTTTAAGTTTGATACAAATATACGAAATCTATCAGGAAAATCAGCTTACAACCCTAACAGATACAGTTCTTTAACGAAATTTGCAGTATTTTGTGGTGTCTGATATTTTATTCGATTCGTCAACAACGCACGAAAAGATAAATCGTATTAAAATGGCGGAGTTGCCTAAGGCAACCTTTAAAATACCAACATAGTGCATAAGGTGCGGTAACCGACCTTTGGCTCACCTATGCCAACCTTTTGTTCAGAAATTGACACCTGCTTTGACGAAATAGGACCTATGAACCCTATCGACATGTAGGAGGTAAATAACAAAATTCCTGCTTACAGTGCTCTTTTTACCAAAGAAAAATAAAATAAAGAAGAAAGCTGAGTCATCCTTTGGTGGTGGTGGTCACATACTCGTTAATAAGATGGCTGACATTAGATCAGTATTTCTATTTATTAATTGTTAAAAAAGCCGTACAGGAAGTAAGTATTGTTGCACAAGATGATAATCCTTTTAAAAACTATATAGTTTACAGCTGAATGGGATATATTATTTTGTACACTCCACTGACTTAAAAATGTTTTTATTTTTTGGTCGAAAGGACGTCAGGATGAATTTCAGTTGACTGCTCTTCTGGAGGATCATTATTCTCATAGTATTCCTCTGTTGTATGGGCTTCAGGTGTACTGTTATTTATTTCTATAGTATCCTTTGATGATAAGCTACCAGTTGTAGCACATTGCGAGGATGTGGATGACGAACCTAAACTCGTTATTTCCACTTCATTTTTCGGACACTGACTTGCTCGCTGACTTTCTTCTAAATACTTTTTCCTTTTTCTATAAAAAATTGTAGAGTATTTATATACTTTTTTCCTATACATCTTCTTTTCGCTTTACACAGTAAGTACCACATAAAAAATACCTAACCAATTGCTCTGTGATAGTACAGTACAGAATTTTTTGAGGTTAGGTGTAGATAGTTCCGCTTCTACAACAAAAATCGATATCGTCGCGCTCGTCGCCGTAATCCAACGAGGTAATTGGTTATAATTTTGAATGTGCTTTGGGTCGTTTAATAAAACGTTGTATTACGTTGTAGTTAGTATGTACATACACTCGTCATTTAAAAGTACGTTGCACAACATTGTACTACGTTTGTTATTCTGTAGTACAATAAACATGCCTTCTGCCTACGTAATGACAACGGTATAAAACCCCACTTCTAACAACGTTGTGCCCTACAACGTTTACCAACGTTGTTAAGGGTCAAAATATACAACTGTTTAAGTGCAACGTCGTAGCGACGTTTTCGCTACGTAATTTGAAGTTTGGGTATGCATAGGGCAGGGAAAAGTACCAATTTCAACTTTGCGCATAGTCAAAACTAGTCGGAAGTCGGAATTTTGTTACTTAGGTCCTGAATAATTTTAGCGTTTTGGCCAAATTGAATTTGAATGTCAAATATTGCCGTAAGTGCCAATTTAAAAATTGAAAATCTACAATTATCATATCAAAATTTTGAGACGAAACTTAATAAATAACAGAACAAATATTTTACTTGGAGGCATGGCAATTCCGTATCCTTTTGAGTCCAACATCCCACCAACTTGCGTCAGTTCGCAGTTCCTCTCAATGACGTATTCGATTGACGTAGATTCCATCAGGAAGGCGTAACTTCCTTTGCCTTTTACCACTTGTTCGACGCCCTCTTGATTGCTAGAGGTAAACACTGACGGCCTTTGAGACTCCATGAACGCCCACATCCGTTGATAGGTTGAGAAGTTTGAATCCTGAAGACATAATACATTTTTTTAGGACAGGAAAGTTATTTCCAAATCTAAATATGCAAAGCATTAACCTATTGCTTTGAAATTTAGCCTTAAGCTTGATTTTCATGCATCTGTTGTCCGACGATACGAAGGTAAGATATTAATCTTATTGGTTAAATTTAAAAACTTCGATTGGTTAGAAAATTAGAGAGTTTTTAAATTTATTGAATTTTCATGCCTCCATTCATTGGATATACGATTTACTTGAGATTGGCGCCATTTTATATTTTTATTTTCGTAACGATTTTGCTGTTTTACTTATAGTCTGGGAGCTATAGTAAACGCTACGAATGTTTGGGAGTGATTCATCGGTCGCTACCATGTGAACTAATCTGTTCAAGGTTACATAAAACTTAATTCCAGTGCCGTGGTGTTTCAAGTCATATAATAATTAATAAATAATCTGTTGTAATTTGTTGTTTTAACTGTCAAAGTCTTGTCAAAACATATATTTGGTTATAAATATAAAATGGAATGCCCCATTGGTCGCACTGCAAGCACACCAATGGACTGACGCACAAAAACGTATCAATCAAAGGAACGTGATATAGTATCGTCTTTGTCAATCACGCTAACATTTTAGAATAAGTAGGAGCGCAGGCAGATGATTAGACCGGGCCTTTAAAAACCTACGTCTGCGGTAAAAATTTACGTTTTTAATGTAAAAATGATAGCGCGCGTGTCGATTCTAACTTCATCAAGCGATGAATCACTCCCAAACATTCGTGGAGTTTACTATAGCAACATTTTTGAGGGAGAAATTTAAGAAAGCTGTTTTTTTAATATATCTTTTGCTATGCTTTCCTGAACAGAGTGCGGACCGTCTGCGTCTGGCTGCCAGTAGACGTTGCATTCACTACTGTACATCCCCCATATATGTATTCAACATCCGTTCTCTATTGCGCATCACAAATTCGCCCTGTATCTCATGAACTAAGGAGGCTAGGAAAAGCCTATGTGTGACAAATTTAGTTTCATAAAAAAGTAGCAAAGCCATGTGAAAATCGCATGATTGTATCTCTACTCATAAACGAGAAATCCCATAAAATACACGAAAATGGGATACTCTGAACAAATGTGATGCCCAGTAGCGAACCGCAGTAGCCTAACCGCGCGGCAACCAGACGGCCCGCCCTTTGGTCAGGACAGCACAGGAGAGCATAGTAGAAGATATATTAAAGAACCAGCTTTCTTAAAATTCTTATTTTCCCCACGGTGCACAGTGGCTCTTGCATATGTTAAAGAGCGGCCATAAGTGATTTTGGAAAAATTAAACTATATGACACACTGTTAAACTTTTTGAATAGTAGTAGCATTAGTTATAAAAAAATAACAACAAATTTTTTGAATAAAATTTGAAACCATGTTTTTTTTTTCTCTTAAACCCATCACATTTAATTGTCTTTTTCGCTTAGTGATAGAATCAATCAGCAAATAAGAATCTAAATATTCCTGGAGGCTTTAAAAAACCCGAGATGATTATTATTTTTTATATTTTAAAGAAAAGGTTTATTCTACTTTTGGACTATTACTAAGAAAGTTCTGAAATTATTATTATGTATTAATTTTTCATGTATTTTTAAACGTCGTTTTTATCCATATTTTTATAGTTTTCAAAACTCCAAAAAAATACTATCGACGCTTATCGACGTTTCCTCTTATCGCAAATAATATTGTTTGAGGAATGTATTTGTTTATAAACAAAAAATGGTCTACCGAATTCTGCCTATTCAAGCGATTTTTTTTAGAATGAGTGGGAGGGGGGTTAATCACTTCGACCTTACAGATCCACTGTGTCCCCCTTTCTTGAATCATAACTCATCATACAGTCCCAGGGCTTTGACAAAAGCCAGTATCTGGGACGGTTTTATAGAGGGTAGTTCTCCATCTCCAATATCAGTCGTACCAAAGTTCATGGCACGAATGGTTGTCGTCTCGGCGCACTCAGTGATGAGGTGTACTGGTGTTTCACCCATCTTCCCCACAGAATCTGCATTCGCCGTTTCTTCTTAGTTTCAATCTACTGAGGTGTTCATTGAGGAGACAGTGTCCTGTTAAAAACCCCGTGACAATCCGAAAATTGTTCTTACTCAGACCCAGGAAGATCTGTGATTTTTCTTGATCATAAGCCCTCAGAAACTTCTTCGAGTGTCTTAGACCATTGCAAGATTTCCATTCCAGGTTCCGGATGGAATCTTCCAAGTTCTTGAGTTCCGCCTTGAGTTGGTTACCACTTGGATATTCAAGCGATATATTTATTTGAAGTAGTCCGTGTTTCCCAATAGACCGGAACACAATTTTAAGTTACGTTTTTTCAGAAAAGACAATAGTCGAAAATGTTAACGGAATGCCACAAATCAAGATGTTTTTAATTGTCTCCTGATATCGTCTAACCCTTTTTTGGCTGCATTTCGGCATATGTGGAAGAAAAGTGAATGTTTAGAGCTGGATGATGAAGCCAAAGAACTCCTTTTATAGAACATATTACTGAGTTGGTTGAGAATATGTTTTCTTTCATAAATATTATTTTCTACTTTTACGTTCAGAGTTGTAATGGTGGTTTATTTTTTTTGTTTTGTGAAATATATATTTTTTTAATTTTATACTTTTTTATAGTATTGTTTAAAGTTTCTTTTAGGTATGGAAATCACTTGATTTACAAAATAACACTTTTTTACAAACATAAATAAATTATAAACACTTTTTCGTCTGCACGCATATAATATATTTTTTGGATCCCATTGTTAAATTAGTATCTTGTTATTTTATTTTTTCACGGGGGAACTTAATTTTTTTTATTAAGAAATGTCTAAACAAACAGCTAGTGATACAAGAAGTGATTTTTAAAGAATATATAAACTTATCTCTTTCACTTTTCACTTGCTCACCCAATTCAAACATTTCCCGAAACCCATCCCCCATGTTCACCCTTTAAAGGAGGGGGCGTGGGGCTGTTAATGTAAGGAAAACATTTTTTGGAGTTCACCAGAAATCATGACAACGCAATAACGGTAAATCTACAGGTGTGTACAAAAAATGCTCTACAAAAAAATAATTTTTGCAGTCATGATTTGACCGGCGTTTTGCTAAAATTCAATTAAAATTATAAAAAAAATCTATAGATATTTTTCTTTTCGCCATAAATAAAGCAGCTGGGCTACAAATTACTTATTAAAGTATTTTTACTATTTATGACCGTTATATCCCTATACCTCGATCCACTGTGCGGTGCTAACTCTTGTACTATTATATTTTTATTAAGGTTAGATTAAATTTATCAAAAAAATGTCAAAACATGCGTTATCGTACGATCTTTCTCAGTTGACGGGCTGGAGCAAAAAATTGATGGATGAAAAGTGGCGCCAAAACGCTATGACCAATCAGAGCGTCGTTGGACCATCGTATCAACCTTTGAATAGTATCAACGGATAACGGACGCATGAAAATCAAGCATTAGCCTTAGTATAGACTCAGACAAAATTATTATGCCAACCACTCTTGTTATTATTTGCCGTATTTATTCGTGTAAATCAGAAAGTTAAGTCTGTCAGTTTTGTTTGACATAAAACATTGTTCACTATTATTCAACACACAGTTTCAACAACCAAAAAATAAAGCTCCAAAACTTTCTTCTGTAGTAATAACTTTTACCTTTAAAACAAAAAAATGTGTTGGTATTTTTATCTTTTACTAGGCTTTTTTTTCAAAATGAAGAATATTTTATGGAAAAATATAAGAATATAAATATATATGATTTTACCCTGAAAAAAGCTGCAGTGGATCCACCTCTAAGAGCTCCGTATTTGATTTTAGTTTGTTTAGCTAAGTCCTCTGCGCTTTCTATCGGCGAGTCCATTCGTTCCACTGTGAGAAATGCAGCTAAGTTGGCAGTGTACGATGATATCATTATGAGAGTGAAGAACCACCACATTCCAGCAACCATTCTTGTTGAAACAGCCCTATTGGATACATAATGTGTCATAGGTAATGCACAGGGTAATATGTCAGACTATCGAGTGTAAAGATGAAATTAATTAGCAGGGGCGGCTTGTTCTATGAGGCAGATGAGGCAGTGTCTCACCAATACATTTGAAGAATTACACGTATTAATCGATACATCTTTAATCACAATTTTATATTTTTTCCCTATTTGCATCAATAATAATTGTATTTTTTATCCATCATTCTACAATAAATTATGTCGATGGTATTCCTTTAAACGCGCTTCCTTTCCGATATGCGACAAACTCGACGATGTGTATCCATCTCATTTGTCCTTTAAGAAGTATATGTGCAGAGGTTTGCCTCTCGCCTTTCCTTGTCTAGCGTATTGTGGTATATCGCATTGACGGAGCGACAGCGTTCACTGGGATCTTAAATCTATAGAATGAAAAGAAAAAGCATAGGCAAAACCTTTAGTTGAAGAGAGATAAAATGTATGGAGTAGTAGCGCGTAAAAAGACCGTATTGAGGCGAGCCTCAAATGTAAATGTAAACCTTAAAGGCCGTTCGTTAAAAATATGTTATCACCAAGTATCACTTCCCGATCAGCCCGAGAGATTTTAGGCGATAGGCTGAAAATGCAGAATTGCATTATTTGGGAATTTGTATTAGTTTGAATCAGAGTTTGAATTAACTCTGCCGGTTATTGCACTGTTTTGTCTCTAATTGATTAATATATACTTTTTTTAATGTGAATTGCATGTTTAATTACTCGTCTTACTGATTACAACGTATTAAGTAAATACCTAAAAAGTGGGCAGTGACTTGTAGATTGATATGATGATTTAGAGGGACCATACATCATCAGAGGACTTCCCCAGGTAAAGTTTTTCGAATTCGAATCATTTCTAGATAAATTGTGTACTCGTATAGTCAAAAAGTAAAGCAACCTGTTACATATTTCATTTTGTGTGAACGAAAAACAAAACTTTTTTGGTATAAAAACAAAATTTTACCATACAGAGTAAAATAAAAGACAAAATATCCTGAGGTCGCTTTGATAAAAATTTACGGTTGCAATAGCCCTATGTAATAGGTACCGTATGATCGAAAAAAAAACGGCGTCCAGTTGGCTTGAAAATGACGATCGATGACATTTCCCATATAATTTTACATATAAAATGACAGCGATCTTCATTTCATAGCCATCGCTGATGCCGTTTTTATTCGATCATACGGTATAATACTGCGAATTTTATTACATAAGGCTATTTCTGCAACTGCTAAAAATTTAGAAATATTTTAAATACAAAAATGTGGCGCTTTTTAAGTGTGTAGGTATCTAAAATACTAAAAATAATATACAGTGTGTATTGCATTTAAAAAAATTGAGATATAGCATTATAATATTGCAATGTTGGCCGTGCCATAAAAAAAATCCCTGTATAAAATAATGTGAATTTTTCTCGGATTTCTTCGTTTGTCCTACATACCTCGCTATATACATGCTTAAGCAATAATATATCAATAAGTTAAATTCACTCCAGGTTTTTACCACTTTTTAAAAAATGAAATTAAAAAATACCTATAGTGCTTCAAGTAAATCAATATGTGATGTATGCTGAATTTTATGCTGAACCCAATTCTGTACAGAAAAATGGTAATGCGATTGCAATTTTAAAGAAAATATTTTTTTTAGGATATGCATTTTTTTTATATAGAACTTTTTTTTCATATATTTGTCAACTACGAAGATATTGGACTTCCTCGTACTAATGGTCACCCTATATACATACTAATAAAAATTCTCTTCTAATGTGCCTCACCATCTTCCTCTGCTACGAGCCGCCCCTGTTAATTAGTCAATTGCTTATAATCATTGTAACTTTTATATTCCAATCCTATTAAATATATTTAATATTTTTATTATGTTAATTTTTATTAAATTATTATACCTGTTAATTCTTCAAATTCTATTTGGCAGTATAAAAAAAATGATTAACTGTGGTATTTAAATATGAATGAGACGAAAATATTAGACGATAAAAATGAATTAAAAATATTTTAAAAAAGAGAAAGATGTTTGAAAATTGAATACAAATATACAACAGACACTAACATCTAAGAAATTTCTTATTACTGAGAGTCTTTGAACAAGCTTCTAAAGTTTTGGTACTTACCTTAGATTGCTGTGTTTGTCTTATCTTTACTATCCTAAACCCCTAATTCAAAAAACAAACTTTATTTCAACAAGGAAATTAAAAATTTTGGCAGCACCTTTTCTAACAATTCTTTGTTAATTGTTAGAAGAGTTCTTTCGATTTTTTTGTGTTTTGGAGAATACCAAGTTTAGTTCTATTTTCCTTCTTGTTGACCTTCGGTGGCTTCGGTATATCATGTTCAATTCGGTCGAATATTGCATAGAATATTCGACGATGGACCCATCATAATTCGAAGTTGTGAAACGTTTAAAATATTAATAATAAATAAATTGATATATTTTCAGGAAAATATGATTATCATCCAATAGTCTAAGGTAACAAATTTTGCAGACATACTCAGTATTTCAAATAGAATAAAATATCGAACAAGAAAGTACATAGACACATTTCAAATTTTGCAGAAAAAACACATTTTTAAACATGAATTCGAGGTAAATCAAAAATGGAATCCAAATGATGGGTTATGTCTTTTATTTCGTTTTTCTACTAACCCCAATATAGTTAAAGTTGTTTTTTTTTGTAGGGTTTGGATGGCTATTCTATATTTTCTACATACATGGCAGGTAGCAAATTTATACGACGCCGTATATATTTATCCGTTGCGTATCTGAGGGACAAAATTTTACGACCTACATCGACAATGCTTTGAAATAAACTAAATCAAGCGATCAAGCGAATCGCTCGCCGCTTGCTACTTGCCATTCATCACCGAAAGAATATGTGCCGTGCGCACGCCACTTACTGCTTGGCGCTTGGCGTTAACGAGTACTTACAACAAGCGACGTGTGAAAAACCATACTTTTAAGTACGAGTGATATTTCGCTCGAGCGATCACTCGGTTATTGCAACTGCTTGAAACTCGAATACTCGATTATTGAAATTAATCTGTTTTTCCCATCACTAATTTAAAAGATGAAAATTTATATAAGAGGATTACTATCTTCTAACAAACGACGGTAATTTATAAGTTAACTTATGCTTTACAACTTTCCCAAAAACGAACTAATTTAAATAATTTTTATCCCCATTTTGCATCGTGTTTGTTCGGTCGGTTAAGTAACACAGCCATTGTGTAAACTAATTACTTGCTTTGCCCGTAATTACGAATCTTTTTTGATAAACTTTTATAATTACGTCTCTGGCCGAGTTCGGATTCGGCTATTTACATAGTTTCTAACGGGTTTTTCTTTTGAATTTTCAACGAGTGAAGTTTTAATCTGGAGCTTTTCACGGGTTTTAATGCCGCTTTAAATGATAGGGTTGGCTTAAAGTTCTTGTTTTTTTTTTTGGTTTTGAATTATTAACTAGAGTCTCAATAACATACTTGCTAAATTTGTAATTTCTTTTGGTAAAAAGAAATATAAACATCAAACAAAGAATGTTGGGTTTTGAATATTAGTTAAAATTTAGAGATTTAAAACTTTTTTTGTAATGTCCTTAATTTTGAAGAAATAAAATATTGTTTTACTACTTATTAAATTACAGATAAAGCGTGAGTTATTGAATATTCTGACAGACGACATTCTAAAATGACTAAATGAGTAAATATAATTTGTCTGTGAATTAAAATTACAGAAACAAACTGTAACTGGCAAGCATCCTGTAGTTGAATAGCCGTAAAATATACCGTCTCGAAAAAATAGTGTCCAGTTGACTGGGAAATGGCAATCAATACCCCATATACAGAGTGTCTCAGGGTGAGCGTACATTAGAAGTTTCTAGAGAACTACAATATCTAGATCGCAGATTTTTTGCGTATCATTGTTTCACAACGAGATCTTTCGATTAAAAATATTTTCAATATGGCGGCACTTCCGAAAATACCGGGAGTTGACAGCAACTTTCTTATTTTAAATGGGTAGACATAGAATCTGTTTGCGAAGCTATCTAGTTTGGCGTTATTGTACGTGTTCAATTGAACAGTATGGCAGCGAAAGTTCTCCTGACGATCCTATCTGATTCACTTTTACTTGGAATTATAATAAACAATTTATCAAAACCTTTAATATTTCTAAAATGTCTTAATTTCGCAAAGCTTAAAGTCAAAGTATCCTTTTGTCCTTTAACACCAGTGTTTTTCCTATTTAGAATCTAAAACACAATATGATCGAAAAAAAGGCGTTAGCGATGGCTATGAAATGAAGATCGCTGTCATGTTACATGTAAAATTATATGGGAAATTGCATCGATCGTCATTTCCAAGCCAACTGGACGCCGTTTTTATTCGATCGTACGGTATAAACATGGGTTAGTCTTAAATAAGTGCAAATATTTTCAGGGCTGTACGCCTTATATAAATTGTGTTCTGTAGTTTCTTCTTCAGACTGACAAAATCTACACATGGCTTCATTAGTTAATCCCCCTTACGATACCTATTAAGTTTACAATGTCTTGTTACTAGACCTACTACATGGTACAAAGAATACAAGGTATGATCGATAGCGGCTCCAATTTCGTTCAGTTCGCGCATACCACCTGTGACGTCACTAGGAAAATGAGGAATAAATAAAAAATAAAGAAAGTTGACAGGAGATCTGCATTTTTTGGGGTTATGGTTAAGAATTGTTTATTTTTAAGACTTTTTAGTTCGTTTAAATTAATAATTACTAAAACCAGCAGTTCCAAAAAATATATTTAAAAATAATAATTATCTATTAACATGGATTTGGACTTTGGACCATAATAGGGTAAGAATACTAAATTTATTTCTATATTCGGTAGGTACCTATAAAATTGTTTATTAGGTTTTTAATTTGCGATGTTTATTGTAAATAATTTTCATGTTCATTGCCTCT